GGGAAGGGAAGGGAAGGGAAGGGAAGGGAAGGGAAGGCACTGTGGCAGGTGTTCTAGACAGATGAGCAACGGGCCCAAGCCCTGTGAACTAGGCCCTCTCATCCTCCATCATACGGAAAAAAAGGAAAAGGAAGATAGAAGGATAAGTCCCCCAGACCACAAGGCTGACAAGGATTTTTGAGTCCCATCTGTTCAAGCCTGCAGTTCTTGGCCTTTTGGCACAAGGCGTCACCATCTCCGGGGGTCTCTGGGTTCCCGGAGAGGTAGGTAGTCCCCCATGAGGGCCAGCATGCGGGGAGCCAGCAGAGGAGAAGAGTGGCCCTGCCAGGGACTGAGAGAAGCTGGGCAGGTGGGCAGAAGCCAACCACGGGGCCGTCAGCAGAGCCAAGGATTCCCGCACACCACTGTCTGTGCGAAGTTTGGTGGAATCTCAAACAGATTGGAGCTGTGTTCGAAACAGCAGAAAGTTCTAAAGCTCCCAAGAAGTGCACAGCGAGGAGCCTGCTCCCACCCCTCCCTGATACCCAGAAGCCCTCTCCAGAGGCAGATACGCCAGCCAGTTTTTGCATATTCGTCCAGTCTAGGCGTATGCAGGCAAATTGGACCCTGTGGCATCCTGCGGTTCGTTTTCTGTGCTTCGCATGGGTCCTGGAGACGGTCCAGCAGGATGGAGGGCCGTGGTGCCTCTTTTCTCATAGCACAGGGCGTGTTCTATGGATGCCCTTACTGACCAACGTGTGTCCTCAAATCTGCTTTAACAAGCGAATGGGCAACGGCCCATCCTTCTCCAAGATGGGGTCTACTAACCTCAGTCCCCTAGGAGGGGAATAGATAAAAGGGTCTGTGAGCAAACAAGTTGGAACAGGGGAGGGGGAGATACCGGGTTAAGGAAAGTCAAAGAGGGTTTTTATTCTGCCTTGTTTCCTCCTGTCTTTGTTGGACTGCCTCTGAATAAGGGTAAGGTCGCCTGTGGAGCGGACACTCAAGGACACTGGAGGGCAGAGGAGAAACCTTACGCACACCCAGGAAAGGGGGTGGTACCCGAGCCAGGGCGGTGTGGGGCAGGGAGCCAGATGTGGCCACACCTGTGCCTGCTCACTGTGGAGCATGGGGACAGGACAGAGGGGCACAAATGAATGACTCTGTGGGTGGGGGACCTGCAGACAATTTCTATTTGCGTTCAGAAAACACAGCCGGGAACAGATTCAATTGTTCAGCATACACAAAATATAGGACCTCTCCAGGAGCGTGATGGGGAAGACTTTTGGATAAACTGCTTCCAGCAAGTTCCGTCCGACTTCAGATTTTACGAACAGATCTTTAATACATGTCCCTTCCGGGAGCAAAACACACACCTGGGAACCAGATCTCTTCTGCCTTTGCTGACTCTGCTAAGCAGAATTTAAGGACTGTTGGAGGTGGGAGAATAACAGACGAGTGCCATCTGAATGGTTTTACAAATAAATGCTTTAGTGGTGTTTTTAAAGGTTGACGATCTTCAGGGTTTGGAGTTAAATTCTTCATGTTGAAATAAGTTGGTTCCTATGCTTTTATTCTTGGGGGAAAGGTTGAATCCGGGGGTGGGGGAGACAGACATCACTCATCATTTCCTGGCTACCAAATGCATGTATTCCAGAGACCAGCCAAGATGTTATTTTACTTAACCTGCGTAACACCTGAGCTCGGTAGATGATTGCTCCCATTTTATAGATGAGGCAACAGAGGCTCAGGAGCTCAAATAAACTGCGCGCCACCCCAAAGCTAGCAATTAGTGCTAGAGCCAGACTCCTTCTTAGAACCAGAAGCAAAACTGCTTTTCCTGAAGTTTCTAAAATACTATTTAAAAGTTATCCCGGGGCGCCTGGGTGGCTCAGTCGGTTAAGCAGCCAGCTTCGGCTCAGGTCGTGATCTCACGGTCCGAGGGTTCGAGCCCCGCGTCGGGCTCTGTGCTGACAGCTCGGAGCCTGGAGGCTGCTTCCGATTCTGTGTCTCCCCCACTCTCTGCCCCTCCCCCACTGGCTCTCTCTCTCTCTCTCTCTCTCTCTCTCTCTCTCTCTCTCTCGAAAATAAATAAAGATTAAAAAAAAAAAAGTTATCCCAACTGCTTTAGGTTCGGACATCACCCTAAGAAGTCATCCATTAAGAGCACACAGGGCAGGGGTGGGGGATGTTTCTCACACCAGGATGAGTGTGAACAAGCGGCAAGTAGGAAACGGGGGGCAGGGGGGGGTCTGCAAGCGAGTGCCACTCCTCACCGCGTGGCCCTTGAGCCTGGCTCACCGCGGGGGAAAACCGTACTCATGGTGTGGCTTATTCGGGGTGAGTAACGAAGTCCGACATCCAGATGCTCTGGCACTGATTGCACGAACCTGTTTTAACTAAGACGTTTGGAAAACGGCTCTTTTTACATGTCCCGGTGGCTCTGGGCCGAAGGGAACAAAACCACACCAAGCTGTGGGTGGAGGCAGAGGAGGGTCCCGCATTTTGAATGGAGCCAACCCCCCCCCCCCGGGGGACCCCGGCCCTCCCACGCTGTGTTTGTTTTATCTGAGCTGCAAAGGAAAAGGAGCAGTAACACTTGGTGGTTTCCTTTTCATTTCTGAAAGCTTCCCGCAGATCAGCACTGCAATTAGCGGAAGAATTCCTTAGGATAGAGGAGGCTTAGCCTTCTGGCACGGACTGTAATCGCTGAAATTTTGCTGCTTAAAAAAAAACCAAACAAAAAACAAAAAAAACCACCACTACGAACTGAAGCTTCTAAAGTTGAACTTATCTGACAGGCCAAAAGGCCTAAGAATCTACCTTTTCACGCTAAAATTCTCCAGGGGGTCCCCTGATGCTTGAAAAGCTGAAGGAGCCCACGTGGAGACCACACCCGGGCTGGCGGCAGAAACTGCGGTGGCTTTCGTTTTACAGGGGACTTACCATACGCTCAATTTGAAATTTATTGGGTGCTTACGAGATGCCAGGCAACGTTCTGGGCCCAAGGGAGACAGAGGTAAAAGACCTTTGGGGAAACAGGAAAGCGATGACAAGCTAGTGTAACATGCACAAAACAGAAGAGGCTGTGGGGACACAAATGGGGGACATCTGATTTGGCCAGTGGGTTGGAAGGCTGCCCAGAGGAGATACCCTTGGCTCAGCTCTAAGACAGAACCACATCATCCAGAGAGCAGGCAGGAAGCATGGTGGTCCGGCAGGGTGGAGGGGACATGGGTGTCCAATGGATCGCATCTGATTCCCAAAGGTGGGAAAGTCAGGCTTGTGGGCAGGAGTAGGGAGAGAAGAGGCTGAAGCAGAGACTGGCTCTCAGGGGGCCTCACAGGTTGTGCTGACTTCATCCTGAGAGCTGGGAAGGACTGGGAAGAGGGTAAGATGAGGCTAGAGGCCGTGTTAGAGAAGAACCCCTCTGGTGTCTTGCATTGATAGGTGGGA